GGATTTTATGCTTTTCCTTTTGGTGCTTTTAATAACTTAAGGGGCAGTAGTGGGTCAATAATGCATGTTTTAATTTCCATGGCTACATTTATAACACTATTGACAAAAAACGAATGTCCTCTACATTGTCATTACATATTTATTTAAACAAACACATTTTATGAAATAATGTAAGCTGAACTGTTAAAGTGGACAAGCAGTGTTGTTCAATTTCATAACATATATTGCATAATCTAAAGCATGCAATGTGAGTTTTCTCCTCGAAGTTTCATAACTATAACTATGGTTCAAGACTCATCATTAAAATACAGTGCCAAAAAGCACATTTTGTAAGCAACAAATAAGCATGAAAGGGTAATAACTGCATAAATTGTTTTCATTTGTATGTTGTTGGTTGCTACACTATGCAATATTCCAGTTACATGATATCTGTAAATAACCTGCAATCATTGGAACTTGAAGCTAGACAAGGGACTAAGTCATTGAGCCTGACCACCATATCCCCATCAGGTAGCATGGGTTGCTGGGGAAAATTACACGCGTCAATCACATCAACTCCATTGTAGATGCTTTTCTCTCCTGTTGCTGGCAAAACAGTAGATATGAAGGCACTTTTTACCTTGGCAGTTTCATCTCAGGAAGAATATTTTATCAAAAAAACTTCAGCTGCTTGGTCTTCTAACACAAGGAGCAGACGACCATTTTGAGCAAAACTGTGAAGGGAGACAACTCTAACCACTAGTTATTCCAGCAAATATCGATGCTATTTGATGACAGAGTATGGAATAACAAGTTCAAATGTCTAAAAATTATGGGTTATATCAATAAGCTGCTATGAAGGCTCAGTGAATTTCCCATTTATTTCAAGCTGACCAGGAATGGGATTTTGAAGTAGGTGAAGGTTAAAAGGAACATTAAAGAAAACTTTTCCAATAATTTTGACAGCATCATTTTCCTTCAAAGTTAGCCTTCTGAGATGAGGCACAAACTCTCCCACTGTTTTTCATTCTGAAGTAAGTATGCCTTGTATGTCTGGTGTCTGTTACAAACACCTTCCACATTTATGTATCTCAAATTTTATATTTCGTCATGTGGAAAATAATCAGATGGAAAGATAAAAATGGCAAATCTGTTATGATAATGGTAGTAATATTATCTATCACCACACAACTTGGAGGCTACAAATGTTTTAAAACATGTTAAAAAAGGAAGCCACTAAATGCTTGGGGCCCATGAACTTTAAGAGGTGAAAACTTAAAATAGACCTTTAAATTCTCACATGACCAGCATGGTATTGTTTGTAATGGTATGTTACTGAATATACCCTACCACCTACCATTATTTACAGATCATCACTTCTTACAATGTCGTGAGTGTACATGAACCTGTATATTTTTCTTGTATTTCAGAAGAAATATTCTCTGAAAAGTATGAGCAGGCAACATACCAATCTCTTATAAACTCTCACAGCATAACACAAATACCTGAAAGTTTTATATCCAAAAAACAAACTTGAATTATTACACTTACATACCCATCCATCATAAAATACAACATCATTAAAAAAATAAATTATGACATAATTTAATTGCTTTTTCTGTTGGTATTCTATAAATTATTTACTGTATTTTTACATAAAACACTGTGCAGAAGTAGCCAGGATTGCCCATATTTAGATACTATTTAGTATATTCGTACACATATCAGCAGAATTTTAAACTGTAAATATGCCAATAATATATTTTCTGGTTCTATTTGTGTGGATACATATATATTGTTAAAAGGTATAATCAGACATCATTAGATGTTGCATGACAGTGGCAACCATTTATAGGAATGAATCATTATGATTGAATGAATGAAAAACACCTGACATCTAAATCCAGCCACCACAACCGCTATATAAATATATTATTATAGTAATTAATTACAGTAAAGCTCCATTTGTTAAAGCCTCAACAATAACTGCAAGGTATTATCCAATACTCACCAGATAAACGAAGTAAATTTGATGGGTATGTCCCTTTATTAAAACGCGAGCTTCGTTTCCGATCGCTGTAGGATTTATTTGAAACTGGGAATGGTTTTGTTACGGAAAGATATTTCAATGTGATGACGAAACGAAAAATATATTTAGATGGGGTAAAACCCATGCCACAACTCACGACTGCACAACGTCATGACATCTGCGGGCGGATGTCTCAGCGTCAGGTGGCTGCACATTTCCACTACCACGGAAACAACATATTTGTGCAGAGACTGTTGATACAGTGCGATAAACTGCTAATACTGTGCAGTCCTACTAATCCAGCTATATGGCGGCCGTCTACTAACATGAATATGTGCTGCCTACATGCATAAGGGGTCATCTCAAAGATATTTTATGCTTTTTCATGTGTGTTGAATATGTCTCATCTGTTGATCATAAAGTATATGTTGAGATACGTAAAAGGGTATGAATGGAAAAGCTTAAATCAGCCATCGTATTAAATGTCTCAAAATACATAGGTGGCATGACCGCCCGAAGATCGACAGGACTGGATATTATTTGTAAATTGTTATGACATGCCGTTTGCTTCCCAGTTTAATTCCCCCAAAGGATTATCGTATCTCAGCTTATATCTCTATCCCCCAGCCCGACCCCAACCACCGACATCCGTCATGGATATGCTTTTGAGACGACCCCTCCTACCTGTTTCTTTTTATAGTGATAGTGAGACTCCATGGTAGCTACATCCTTCATAGTTTCAGTATTAACATTATTAGTTTTACGTCAGCTATCGTTTATAATGAAGCTAAGTTTAATTTCAAAGTGGACGTATAAAAATATTTCTTTGTAATATAACATTATCATCCACTAATTTGCATAAAGCCATGGCCTGTTCCAAATAAGTCGCTTTGGACTTACAAAAAAAACTTTCTCATTTCTGCACTAATCTCTCCTCAGTAAAGTCCTTTTTCTACGTTTCCTATCTCCCTACCACTGAGACTGTTGTTAGGCCGAAACATGAATCTGTACCGTGTCATTGAGGCAATTGGGAATCAATTGTGTGGAATAAACATGAATCTGTACCGTGTCATTGAAGCAACTTGGAATCAGTTGTGTGGAATAAACATGAATCTGTACAGTGTCATCAGTCAGAGACGTAACGTGTACCCGAGACGGCCTATCGGCCTATATTTAACATACCCTGTACGCATGCACGAGACTTTGTCAGCCAATCAAATGGCGCGTGAAGCTCCTCAGATGTGAGGTGTTATCGGAAGCGTGTAGTTTTTGTTTTAACCCATCCCGAAAAGGCTTTACAAACGTATGAATGCCTTTACACATTCAATAAATGTACCGTCTTTGAAACCAAGGTCTACCGCGTTGAAGGGTTTAAATATACGACAGGTGTATTTTTATTCGTATTATTTGTTAAATAAAAGAAATGAGTAAAATATTTCCGGAAGCATTATGCATCATGTTTTTTATAAATGTTTTGAAAACGTTGCTAAAACGTTTCTTGTAACTTTCGTGTTAGCTTTTGATACAACAGTCTGCTTTCTTGGTGAATTCTGTGTGGAGTATTTACTAGCTGTTGTATCAACAGCTAAAACTCATTAAACAATTAGCGTCTAATTACCCAGATAGCATTCAGACGTTGGCCCAACGTTGGCATTAAAACTTTGCCAACGTTGGGCCAACGTCCGAATGCTATCTGGGTAGTTCTTTACGAGTTCTCTGTGTGGCATATTCGACGCTAATTGTTTTTTAAGGGTTCTGGAGAGCCGCTGAAACGGCTCACCGACCGCGGGTGTGTTTATTGCAAACTGAGGATGTTGTTTCTGTCTGCAAAAACACGGTTCAGGGCCTATGCCCGCGATTAATGATCATGAAGCTTTGTATTGCTATGTCAACTAAATATCCTGACGTCGGCGGAAGATAACACTCCATTCCTCCAGCCCAGGTGCGCACAGTAAAGGTAAGAAAATTATAAAATATGTTGTATTGCTTATCCTGGTCCCATGACGTCATTGCCCAGATATATCGCGAAAATGAATACATACGTTTCTTATTGACGTGAAACAGAAGCGGTATTTCTTTCCTGCAGTTATCAGCGACCATAAACATATTTATTATATAATTATTTAATATCTATTCTTAATTTATTTAAGTAGTAACTTTCCGATTTCTTAGATGGTATGGTCACCGATAACAGCTTTATTTTCCAGACGAGGGCGGGACACTATAGGATTTACGCGCACGAGTATTCGAGCGTCGTTTGATGACGCTTTATTTATCATGGCGAGGAATGAACACAAAAGCTATGCACAGTTATATCTTATATATACTATGAGCACTGTCATACAAATAAATACAGACAAACCACACACACAATAACACACACGAATATAGAAATATATAACCATAAAAGAAACCACACACGCAATAAATAAATATAGGTATTAGAAATACACATCGTATGTACATTTACAACTGGAAAGAGACACACACACACACATATATCCCTGTCATACAAATAAACACATCGATATACATTAACCACTGGAAACACGAAGGTCGCGGGTTCGATCCCCGACCGCGTCATACCAAAAGACATTAAAATATGGTACTTGTTTGTCCCTGCCTGGCGCTCGGCATTAATGGGTACAACAAGGAATGGTCGGCTCGGAGTCAGTATAATGTGTCTGAGTGGGGTATTCATGCTTCACTGCGGCATGGTATCTCAGTGAGCTAGCACTATAAAACCAGCTTAAGTCTGGGCTAGTACAAGCAGCCGCACATACACATACACACGCATGCACGTCGTCATATGAGCGAAATATTTTCAAGCACGACGTTAAACCCAATTTCACTTCACCTCACCTCACTGGAAACACACACACACACGCACGCACACGCACGCACGCACGCACGCACGCACGCACGCACGCACGCACGCACGCACGCACGCACGCACGCACATCACTGGCAACAGAACCATGAGACCACTCACACTCACACAGAAGAAACACAACAGGTCTTCAGGGCAGGTCCCTGAACTCCACACAGAAACGGGACCCTGATATCCTAGTTTGGAGGGCCGCCGACACTTTAATGATGTCGTCTGTATTGATTGCACCCGTGTCTTCCTTGTCGGGGAAATGCCAGGATCCCTTCGTCTTACTTGGATGAAGATACTTCACAAGTAACGGTTCACTCTGCGTCACCTGGCGAGAAAATTAATAGGTACATTTAGACCATGAGGTTTTTAGCTGTGTAGAACACAAACGCAACGGTGAAATTCAATCCCTTATGTTGATATTTGTCATCACGTTCTAACAGTTTAGAACCTAGCGACGGTGAAACATAACCAACCTCAGCAACAAATGGCACCGTCCGGTTTGATGAGGTGGGAACGGCCTCATAGACAAATGTCCCTGCTTGTAGACTGGGAATACTGAAACATATATCAAATTTGTAACACATCAACAGTAATTTAGGTGAAAAGTTAATAAATAAGAATAATGGTTCCTTGACAGTAATTTAAGACATCGTTGAATGGGTTGAAAAATACAAACAATCCAGTATACTGGTCATAAACATAGCCCTATATTTATGGAACATTTTGCGCCTGGTGAATACCTCGTGGTTCATCGGTTCTCTTGCGGTGCACTTCCCTGGTGCGGACTCTTTTTTCGGGTTGTCCTGGTGGCAGACCAGAGATTCAGACCTGAACCTGGGGAAATCTAGACTTGCTTCATTTAGGGCTTTAGCACTGCAGGGAGGGCTAGGCAGTAGGGACTGTGAGACATACTATTACCAACCTTGTCTGGCGCTTTTATGTGATGTTGCTTGGTCACTGCAACATTCAGGCTCGACGTTGGCGTTTTGGGTAGGTGGGTCCGGGTATCCTTCAACACCTGACGTTCTGATAGAGATCAGACAACTCCTTGTCCGGGTATCCTGCAGCGCCTGACGTTCTGATAGAGATCAGACAACTCCGTGTCCGGGTATCCTGCAGCGCCTGACGTTCTGATAGAGATCAGACAACTCCGTGTCCGGGTATCCTGCGGCGCCTGACGTTCTGATAGAGATCAGACAACTCCGTGTCCGGGTATCCTGCGGTGACGCGTTCTGATAGAGATCAGACAACTCCGCGTGTCCGGGTATCCTGCGGCGCCTGACGTTCTGATAGAGATCAGACAACTCCGTGTCCGGGTATCCTGCGGCGCCTGACGTTCTGATAGAGATCAGACAACTCCGTGTCCGGGTATCCTGCGGCGCCTGACGTTCTGATAGAGATCAGACAACTCCGTGTCCGGGTATCCTGCGGCGCCTGACGTTCTGATAGAGATCAGACAACTCCGTGTCCGGGTATCCTGCGGCGCCTGACGTTCTGATAGAGATCAGACAACTCCGTGTCCGGGTATCCTGCGGCGCCTGACGTTCTGATAGAGATCAGACAACTCCGTGTCCGGGTATCATGCGGCGCCTGACGTTCTGATAGAGATCAGACAACTCCGTGTCCGGGTATCCTGCGGTGCTCCCCTCTGGTGTGCTCACTTCTATGCATGGCGGTGGTGCAAAAGAGTCGACCACGTCATTCTGTGTGTTCTTGGTGTAACTCACTCCACGAGGCTTTACGTCGGTCAAGGGTTCACCGTTCTTGAAATGGTCGAGAAGCGACCCGGTGCCGGCGAACTTGATCCCTCCCTCGAACGACAACACCACCAGAAACTCCATCGTCGGCACCTCCTTCGACAACTTCTCCGCTTGTCGCACCATGCCCCTCATTGTCCGCTATTTCCGTTGCTTCAGTGCGTTCTTGGCGTTCTTCTCCATCCGTGTTTCATCGTCAACAACCACTTTAATACCCGGCTTGGTACGTGCATGTTCCATCCTGATCTAAAGAGGGAGAAGATGTGATATGATGAGTTGTTTGCAACACGTTCTGACCATGAAACCCGGTTAAAATCAGAACAGGGAATATTTACTTACATGTGAACAAAATAGCAGGGCAGTACATGTTAAAATCGGGACAGGCTAAAATCATGGAATATTTACATGTGAACAAAATAGCAGGGCAGTACATTTTAAAATCGGGACAGGCTAAAATCATGGAATATTTACAATGAACACAATAGACATGTTTAAAATTGCAGAGAACTATTTACATAGTATTGTTGTTATTTACATAGTTGTACAAACAAGAGACAAGGGACAATCAGATATATTTATTTATTGAAAACAAAACGAAGCATTCAATCTTGCAATAAAACCTTTATTTCATTGTAAAGAGAAATGTACGACTCTTTTTTTTACCCCTTGCGTTGAATTTTATGGTGAAGGCCTCGCGATCTGCCTGGGACAGCCGAGGCAGCCATCGCGTAATTTCCCTCTGAAGGTCCCTTATCGTTAATGATTCCGGGCCTGAGTTGAGGAATATTTCCTCAGTTGTGATGAAGACAGCCTGTCTCAGCTGAGGGAGAATATCTTCATATTCTCCTAGAACCTTCACCTTTATGAAATATTGACGTCTCAGGTTGGCGTCTTTAGTAAAGTCAACCAGGCAGGGATCGGGGGCGCATCCAGTTATACTGGCATGCACATCAGTGCCCTCGATGTACCTGGTTTGCCTGAGGCGTAGGCGCCAAGACACAATGGCGTCCTCTAGGTTGAGCGGTCTCAGCCTAGTACAAGGCTTCGACATGCCAAGCTCTAAGAGTGTCTTTTGCCGAATTTCTGTCAACACCGACTCATTTCGGCAGGCCGAGAACCAAATTTCATCACTTGGGATTCTCTTCGGAATGACCTCTTTTACACGCTTGTTTTTTTCTTCCAGCACAAAATCAAAACACTCCCCTAGAGATGGATGGCCACTGGTCGTGATTGAAACATACCTATCGAACAGATCTTGTACTTCAGGGGGCATAACCATGTACTGAAATTCATCGAATACCTCGATGTCCCTATATTTTGGGTGATTCCTACCGTGAAATAATTCCTTAGTCATGTATTTTGCACTGTGGAGGAGAGGGGAGTGATTCCTACATATGGCCATCCTGAAATTAATGATCCCCTGGGAATACTTAAAAACCTGTTCCAAAAGATACCTAGCATTTGGGGAAGTGTAAGTCGATTTGGCATAAATCAAGAACCCCTCGGCCGAATGGGGTGCTGGCTGAGACGCGACGTATGGGCGGACGAGCTCACGAAGAGTGCCCAGATGAAATGCAAGTAACAGCGCCCAACTCTTGTGGTGATCGCTTGCGTTTTTCGCTGACCTTTTGGCCGCGTCAGTCTGGAAGCCCATGGCGTGACAATAGTACTCTAGAAAGGGTGTCCAGTTGAGTTCGAAAAAAGCTTTAATCAGATTAATTTCATAATGCCCAGACCCGATTTTCAGATACACCCAATCAAATTCGAATTCCGAAACTGCATCGACACAGTGGTTTTTGTGAGATTCAAATGATTTTTGGTTTGGAAATGTTTCATCACAGGCCTGGCAGATACGTGCTTCTTCCTTCAATTTCTTAATGATTGAATAAGGCAATCCGTCACAACAAACGACAGTCCAATGTCGTGTGCTACCTCCATATCGCATCAGGTTGTTTTCCCTCCCTATCTGGCGCAACACCTCCTTGACTGTATCGGAACTATTCGGGTTAACGTACAACGGATCAGTCAGAACAATGTCATGTTTCCCGTCGTGGCCTGATGGGACGTGGCTGTACCGTTCCTCTGTAGGAAGGATTGAAGAATCCGAAAATTTTAGAGAAAATTCTGTGGCGACAGGCCCTTTATCTTGATGGTTTGAAGGGGCCCTAGCATTTCTTGCCGTTTCCTTTCCCCTCCGTTGCGCTTCTTTCCAAGGCGTTGCGACTAGCACCTTTACCTGGCAGGTAGATGGAATTTACCTGTCAGTATCCCGCACCTGGGATGGTGTGTAGTTACCTGAACTACGGTATACCCCCGTACTTTGGTCCTGACGATAAGGGATGTGCGAGAGGTACAGTGTCAGTACCCGGGGGCCCTTGGAACTTTACCGTAGTCCATCCAGCAAACACAAGACGATGATCTTCGTTCAATAGTTTTTATTAACACTGTGTTGCTGGTCAACCTACTCTATGGTCACTCTATAAGACTTCAGCCGCAAAGCTTCAGTCTTAAGCCAAATGCTGGTGCTTCAAGATAATTTCTCAGACGATTCCTAGTGACCAACAGCAAGAGTAGGCCCGCACCAGACTCCCGTTTCTGGGCTTTGCTCCAGCTTAAACCTGGGTTCCTACGTCACAACCAACACCCTTTCCATTTTTTCTATTGGTCAATAACCCATAACTTGACTATCTATTACTCTCCCCCACCTCTATTTCGTACCCCCATTATCATATTTGTACGACCGTGAGGTGGATTCCAGGAATCTCAGAGTCTCTCTCCCCTAACCATATATGGCTCGTAGAGTACCAAGAACTGGTAGCCAGGTCCCCGGCCACATCGCTCCATCTTGATAGTATAGTAGTTTTTTCCTATCTAAGCTATGAGTCACCTCACCCTGCCCTCATCAGCTCCAACGACCTACTTTCATGTTCATTACCTACGTTACTGACTTTCTACCTTACTTCCTACCTTACAACGTTATTAATCACTTCATATCTTAAATATATACACCTGGAACTTAATTAAGCACCCCCCTTATTTTCTGGATGATGAGAAACAAAACTTGCTGTAACTTTCTCACTATTCCAAAGATAGTGGAACCTTAGCTATTGTGAAACATACGATCTATTGGCAAATGAAAAACAAGACAATGATTCCAATTCGTGTTGTTTTAATAGCGTTAACAATGTGATTTGGTCACTGCTGATTTTTGATGAAAATAGTCACTGAACAAGTATGGTCGTAGCATTGTCAATGGCTGACTATTACAAGAAATGATGCACAAGGAATGTCACATGCTAACATCTGATGGGTCTGGAATCAGTATCGGGTGTATCCCCCACGTGCTTGGATGACAGTTTGAATCCTTCTCCTCATGCTACTGGTAAACCTTCTGATACGATCAAGTGGCAATTGCCGCCATTCTTCATGCAAAGCAGCTTCCAGCTGTGCAAAATTCTGGAGAGGGGGTTCTCTCAACCTCACACGGCGTCCAAGAGAGTCCCAGATGTGCTCCAAAGGATTCAAATCGGGGCTCATTGCTGGCCAAGGTAATGCCATGATAGCCTCATTCTGGAGATGTGCGGTCACAGCACGTGAACGATGCGGGCCTGGCGTTGTCGTCCATGAATATGGGGTGAGTAGCCAACGAATGGTTGTCAATGTGAGGCACGACAACTGGATGGAGAATATCCCGGATGTACTGCTGACCATTAAGATGTCCTCTGACAGTCAACATTTGAAGTTTACAGTCGTGTGAAAGACAAACCCAGATCATAACCGATCCTCCACCATAAGGAACAGTAGGGTGGATA